AGCGCAGTCCTGTTAGCATTGTGGTTCTGTTAGCAGCATGGCATTGTAAGCAGTGTGGTTCTGTTAGCATTGTGGTTCTGTTAGCAATGTGGTTCTGTTAGCAGTGTGGTTCTGTTAGCAATGTGGTTCTGTTAGCACAGGGGTATCAAACTCACTTACAAAAGGGGACCAAAATTAAAACCTTTTTCAAACTAAGGGCCGGTTTCAGAATCTACATTTAATCAAGTTAGATACACAACATCTTTTCTTGGTTACAGGTTTCTCAACAAGCATTTGATTGGTCTCATTTGACGTTCTCTGTTGCACTTTTGACATAATAATCCAAGATTACTGAAAAAAATTAACGTGATAAAAGTATTTTACATTTAAAATAACATCTTAGGGGCCAGAGAAGATGTCAACGAGGGCCACATTTGGCCCCAGGGCCTTGAGTTTGACACATATGTGTTAGCAGCATGCTCTTGTTTGCAGCGTGGTCCACTTTGCAGTGTGGTCCCGTTAGCAGCATGATCTTGCCAGCAGTGTGGCCTTTCTAGCAGACTGGTCCCGTTAGCAGCACTATCCTGCAGGCGACCAGCATGAAGCTCCAGAGGAAATAGTTGGTCTGGCCAGCAGCGACAAACAGCAGGCCGTTGGTGCTGGAGGTTCGAAAGTGAACGCAGAGCATGTTATGGTCCGACGACTCCGTAGCCTTGAGCTATATGAAGCCATCACCATAGAAGGAAGCTCCCAATAATAAATGAGTGTAGTCTTGTCTATACACCAATTCTTGATTATTTAGCATATAGGTTTTACCCATAAAATCAGTAAAACATGTTTGTAGACTATTGGCTATTAATGCAGAAAATATGTTTCTAATATTGATGCTATTTTCAGTTTACTGGTATATGCCTACCCTCAGTACTTTGGTTTGCAGTAATTATACCAGTCTAGAGAGAAATTACCACTGGCAAAATAATATACCATTAGACTACTATTCCTACCAAAAATATAAGTATAATTCCATGTTCTTTCAAAGTTCTGATACTGTTAGAAATTAATGGCAAAACGTTGGGCCTTTTGTCTTTGTTTAGATTTTTTTAGTGGTGCAAACTCTCTGTGCTGTGGTCGGCCATTGCAGTGACTTTTTAAATATTTGCCATTACAGTTCATCAGCAAGTTTATGCTGTTTTAATCAGTCTAACAAGCAGTGAAAAACTAAACAAGCTTAACAATAGCAGAAAAAGCAGTTTGACCAAAATTGTGTCTTTAAATTCCTGATTTAAATAGTTGTTTTATCATCTTAATGGAGTCAACCATTTTTTAACCTTTGACTACTTGCTAATTGGATTATATCAAATTGGATGTAATTTAATAAATTATTTTAAGTGCTCAATCAAATGGAATTTGAAAACCTTTTTTTTGATGAAGCTCATTCATCATGGGCCTGTAATATGACTTCACAATACCATCGCACCAAAGCTAGACATTTATTTAAAAGCTTTTTAAAATCTGATTTGACTGAAACAAGACAAGAAGAATGTAACGTCTGAAATGATCAGGTTGTTTGCAGACAAATATAAGAAATATGTGTTAAACTTTGAATAAGTACACTCCAATTTCACTTGGTCTTGTTAAGAAAAAACAACTGTGAAATTATTCTTATTTATTTACAAAATAACTGCACCTAAAAATGTTACATATATCTGAAGAGGACAAAGTGTCACAGTACAAACCACATGAGAAAGATTCTCACATGTAACTTAATACAGCACAAAGTAACATTACTGCTGTACAGATATTGATTTGTCTTTCTCCTTTTTCTGATTCATGAATTATTAAAAGCCTGTCTGAAGATTTACACACATCATAAGGTGTAGCGAGAGTCTTTTCAACTTTGGTGGAGTAAAGAGCTAAATGTGGAGGTGTAACTTTCTGATTTAATCTATTTTAAGACAAGTAGACTGTTTCCAGACTCCTGGTTTAGGGTAATAATCAGTGTTGGGCGTCTTTTTGTCAAAATCGACTCGTTACTTGTTTCATATGCGGCAGACAGTTGCTCACTGTCACTACGTTACCTCCTTCCTCCCCTGCTGATCGATCTCACCGTCCTTTGCTCGTCCATTTCGGTCCAGGTTGCTAGGAAACCGGAACTTGAGACCCAGTGATGGAGAAGCAGATGCTGTTTAATTGCTCTGTTAGTCACTGTTTGAGCAGTTGCATGTATTTGTATTCATGGCGACGTAAAAAAAATTACAGTAAACTTAAGTAAATTAACTTCATATTATTGCTTTATGTCTGAAGCACGGTTTTATTTTCCTAATTTCTTTGTTCTGCTAAGGTTGTGCTACAAATTTAGATGCATGGAACAAAGGTTTTCAGCTTTATTTGAAAATGTTTATTAATAAAGACACATCAATGAATAGTGTGCATGCTGCAGTACAAGATGAGCAAATATATACAAGAATTGTGGCCACAACATAACTTGACGAACTTCATGGTGTCATTATGATGTGGCTGTAAGAGGAGTAACCTGCTTAAAGAACTTACTTGTTTCAGTTGAATTGTACACATAAGTTTAAGGATTGGCTCTTAGACTGTAGTAAAAAAAATCCACATAATTGACACATTATAGACATTATTGTTAAGATTCATGACCCCATTAAACAGACTGGATGCACCCTAAACAATGCAAATAAATTATAATTTAAATACTTTAAAAGGTCTTCAAACATCAAGCTTGGGTGCAGCTAGGCTTTTGTGGGTACACTTACAACAAAACAACAATCTGCAGTTCTAAAACTGCTCCTGTCTCATTCCAAGTACTGGTATGTCATTGTTCAATGTTCATTTCACCAAAATTAAAAGTAGTTGAAGCATCTGCAAATTAAGCCTTAATATATCAAATGTTTGTTATTTATTTGTCAAAGCGCTGCTTGAACTGCAGTAAAATAGATTATTAAATTCCAAGTGCCAAATGTTTGCACACTGGGTTCCAATAATATATTTGGACTTTCACTCCCCTTCATGCCCACAACAATTTTAGATTATTGTGGCTGAGCTAATAAAGCCCACAGGGGGCAGTGAGCTTTGTGATGACAGAAGAGGAAAAGAAAAGTATGGAAAATATGATTTTTTTCTTTCAGGGCTGATATTCACATATGTATTCCATACATCCATACATACATACATTATCTTTTACCTACCGCTTCCTTTTTTGGGTCACAGGGGTCACTGGTGCCCATATCCAACAGTCACTGTGCGGGAGGCGGGGGGGACACTGGACAGGTCTCCAGTCCATAGAGACAAACGAGACAAGCCATTCTCTCTCTCACTCACACCCAGAGACAATTTAGAGTTACCAATCAGCCTAACATTCATGTGTTTGGTCTGTGGGAGGAAACCGGAGTACCCGGAGAAAACCCACGCATGCACGGAGAGAACATGCAAACCTCCAGTCAGAAAGGCCCCTGAACAGGATTCGATCCGGCGACCTGCTCGCTGAGAGGCAGCAGCTCTACCAACTGAGCCACCGTGCCGCCCGCAGTAATATCCAAATTTAAAATTCTCTTCTCATGCAGCCCTTCTACAATTTATCCAGTTGTATTTTTATAATAATTTGACTCTGTTTCATAAATGGTTATGAAAGTTGACTAATCACCTGCTACTGAAATGCTGAATTTAAAATGCTGGTTTTAAAATGTTGGCTATATTAGATTCTAAGGGGAGCCATGTATTTTAAAGTGTCAAACAAACCTACTGTATATTATTTTTTTAATTATTCATCACATCCTCTTTCAGGAAGGCCATGCTATGTACTTATATTGCTATAATATGTACTTATACCGTGCATTTATGTATGTTTGTATGTATGTACAGGTATATTTACATGTACATATGCATACATATATACATGTATATGTATATATGTATGCTTAGATGTGTGTCTATATCTACTGTACATATTTAAGGTTAATCATGAATGTAATACTCCCCAACAGCTTGTGCATGTGCATATTGACGTTCAAATTTGTGTATTCTGCTTTTTTTATTATTTCATGTGGTGGTTTTTTTTCCTCTATAATTAGAACATGTAACTGGATGCCTCGAATTTCCCCCTGGAATTAAAAAAGTATCTATCTAATCCCATGTTTCTTGTACGTTTTCATAGGTAATGAAGACGTACCATATGTACCACAGCGAGAGTCTCAGTGCCGAGAGCAAGCTGAAGGAGGCAGAGAAACAGGAAGAGAAGCACATTGGGAAGAATAATGACATCGGTGTTGGCCTGCTGCGTTACGGTCACGATGAGCGTCCGCAGCGCCGCAGCTCTGTAAAGAAAATGGAAAAAATGAAGGAAAAGGTCAGTTGACTTTCCTCTGTGTCATGCACTCTGATGGGTTATATAAGATAAAAATCAATGTAATGTGGTAATGCTTCTTTGAGTACTTTAGAATGACATTTAACATTCTTGATGGGACATTTTTCTTCCCAGAGACAAGCCAAGTACTTTGAAAACAAGCTAAAGTGCACAAAAGCCCGGAACGACTATCTTCTCAATCTGGCAGCGACCAACGCTCTAGTGGCCAAATACTACATCCACGATGTCTCAGACATGATCGATGTGAGTTAAATCCAAGGAGATACTAATATTGGCCAAGAGTTGGTAACATTTTGTCACAATGCATCATTATTTTCTGGTTTTAGAAGAAAATCTTCCAACAGTGTGAACATTCAACATGTTCTGTTTGCTCTCAGTGCTGTGATTTAGGATACCACGCAAGCCTGGCACGCACCATGAGGACCTATCTGTCCGCAGAATACAGCCTGGAAACATCTCGCCATGAGGGTCTGGATGTACTGGAGGGAGCCGTAGATGCCATGGACATTAGAGGAGACAAGTTGAAGTTTATGGACATGCACAGCCAGATTTTTTGTCCTCCATCACGCTTTGACTATCAGCAACACATGGGAGATGAGGTGGGCTTTTTAATGGGGATGCAGTTGCTGGGTTCTCTCATTATTCTGTCCGCCCTCGGTGATAAACTGACGATTCCTTTCTTTGCCTCGTCTCAGGTGTGCCAGGTAAGCGCACAGCAGCCAATCCAGACAGAGCTCTTGATGCGTCACCACCAGCTGCAGTCTCGCCTCGCCACACTGAAAATAGAAAACGAAGAGGTAAGAGGTTCTGTGCACAGAAATCCTTAGTGTGGACTGTGTCAGAAGCTGTTTGGTACATAAAACGAGCTCACTTAAGGCTTATTGAGCAGACTTGTATCCTTCATCCAAGAAAGGCTCAGACTAAGTTATTCTCAAAGGGCCACAAGTTGTTAGAAAATATATACTGTAGTTTTGTGAGTTTTAGTTACATCTTAGTCTATGTTGGGCTTTTGATGCCAAAGAAATGAACAAACATGATAAATAAATTCAATTCAAGGTGTGCTACAGTGGCAAACGCATAAATGAACCAAAACACTGTCAGTTTTACAGGTTTAGAGCTAACTTGATGTGGTGGTAGCTGAGAGTCAGTCACAACACATTCTCTGAGTGGGTCTTCTTGCAGTGTTGCACGTGTTTGTGCTTAATGCTGGTTTTCAGGTTTAACCAAACTTTGTCATCTCTCAACATAAAACGATGAGACTGAGGGTAAGAAAAGGAAAACTTGAACCTTGTGAGGCTGTGTGATAGTTTGATTTATTATCCTCAAAGGATTAATGGGTTAGTTTATAATTGTTAAAGTGTCTGACTTATTTTATTCCAAGATGTAAGGGAGCTTATTGTACCCCCATCACGGAGCGAAGAGGGTGAATTGGAAATACCCTCGACCCATCTGTGCATGTTGTGAGCATCATAACTTGAAAAATAAGTGAGGTAGCAATTTCCATTTTGGTTTGTGGCTACATCTAGGCGTAAGTAAGGTTACTATGCAAATTGGGTTATCATGTCAAAATCCAGTCCAAAAAAACCCACTCATCGCCAAATTTGAATATTCACTATTCAAATACCTCAGGGAGGGGAGACATCGGTGTACCTCTTGTTTTAAGTTATTTTATGCTAACCAGCTGCTAGAAATAAATGCACATATAAAGTTCAGACATTGAAAAAGTTACATTTTCTCCCTTTCAAACAAGAATGTTTCACAAAATATCAAGCTACAGTAGTCCCTCGCTACTTCGCGGTTTGGTGATCGTGGATTTGCTATATCGCAGTTTTTCAAAGTAAGATTGGTCATGACACAATTGGCTGATTGATGGATGAGCCATGGGTTGTTTATTTAAAATAAATTATTTTAAATGATTTTGCACCATGTGTGCAGCCCACAAGTTCAGGGGAAGCTCCCTCCTGTATTTCTCCTCTGTGCTGCAGCTCCTTCGTGAAGGGTTAACCCTTTGCTGTCCAAATGCACCAGTCGACTTTTGTCTTCCAACTTAAAATTCAAAGTACATCACATCAGAAAACCATCATAATCACAAAACACAAGTGTTAATTTATTTTAAATTATTTTAGAACTTCGATGTTCGGTTGTTGAAGTGTAATTGATCAAGAAGTTCTGCTCCGTGCTGCAGAGCTGAAGCTGTGTGACATCCTTTGACGTCCTGCTGCATTTCTCTTCTCTACAATTTAAATTGAAATACTGTAACATTTTAAATAAACAACCCATGCTGCATGGAGTGTTCATTTAAAATGTTACAGTATTTAAATTTAAATAGTTTATTTAAGGAGGGAGAACGGGAGTAACAGGTGATGAGTGTGATTGCAGCGTGGCGCACATCATGACAAAGTTTACTGAACTTGAACTTGGATTACTGTATGCCCACTTCACAGTTCAATTATCGCGGGTGTGCGTGGTCCCTAACACCCGTGATAAACCAGGGACTACTGTACTCTTTTAGGAAAAACCATGCACTATTGAATTTCGTATGGAAAAAAGCATATTTTTACTAAAATTGTTATAATAACATTTATCTCTTATAATGGCAGAGTATTTTTTTTCCTGCTTTTGTAATTAACATGGTCAATGCGACTCACACAGACCCATTTAAAGGCCACAGTGCTGTGAATATGTGACATGAATATGGAAATGCACACTCTCTTCCTTTCTACCTCACATGCAGCAGAAGACGTGCAGTAATTCAGTTAAACTGTTGTGCAAAGCTTCTGCAGCCTTGTTGGCACCACAACCTATTTCCAATACTTCAGATACATTTTGTAGATATATTTGATTGTTTTAACAGAACTAATTTCTTGTTTTAGGCGTTAGACATAATTATCTAAGGTGTAGGGGTTTTCTTATGTTAAAATATGTTGTTGTCAGGTAAAGAAGACGCTTGACGCCACCATGCAGACCCTTCAGGACATGCTCACCGTGGAGGATTTTGATGTTTCCGAGGCCTTCCAGCACAGCCAGTCAACGGAGTCGGTCAAATCAGCTTCATCTGACTCCTACATGAGCAAGGCTAACATCGCTAAAAGGCGAGCAAATCAGCAAGAAACTGAGGGCTTCTACTTTACTGTAAGTTTTCACGCCAAGGAAAATACTAATTTGCATTAAAAAAAATACTACAAATATCCATGGATTGTTTCTTTATCTGTAGAAATACAAGGAGTATTTGAACGGCAGCAATCTGATTGTGAAACTGCAGGCTAAACATGACCTCCTGAAACAGACATTAGGAGAAGGTAAGGCTTGTTAAACTTGTGTTGTAGGTTTATGGGAAGGAAAGGATGTCGGTAATCACTAACATGACCATAACCTTTAGTATCTGTTAAAAAAAAGAGGATTAATTGAGCTTGAGGGCTCATTTACTCAACATGTGACTCGAACATTTAATGACTTCTATGAAAGTAATCATTGGATGCACATCTAGAGCTGAAGGACTTTTGAAGCCCATAGATATAATCACTAGATACAGCATTGACCGCTATCGCCTATTGGCGCTGACTAGCTGTAGGGCCGCCATCTTGGAACGGTTGACCGCTCCACTCAGTGTAACCTGTTTGTCAGGAGCAATGAAGTATCTGCGCGTTTAATCAGTCATAGCTGAATACTAAACTCATTCTCATGATTTTTTCCTCTGTAAATCTTAGGAGTACAGCCATTAAAGCTGAACACATGGTTTAGTGTATTTAAATATTCTTGGCGAGGTTAACATTAACAGTAATAAAATATTCTTATGACAAGTTTTGCAAAACTCACAGCCACTGATACATTTTTTTATTAATACCTATATATATATATATATATATATATATATATTTCATTCATTCAACCTTTATTGATACAGGTTAGTCCCATTGAGCCACAAGGACTCATTTAACAGAGACCTGGATTTTAACAAAGAGTGATGACAACAGTGGATAAGAAACTGTTTTTCAATTGTCAAACAAATAAACAACAAAAAAATGTATGAATCATTTGTGAATGTCTATTGTTGTTGTTGTTATCACTGTCTTATTATCTTGTGCTGCTCTGGTCCAGTCTCTTCATGGATGATGTGTGTGAGGGTGGACATGTTTGGAGGTTGCTGTGTTGAAACTCCATGAATCTATATATTCTCCCCAGTTTTATTATTTTATATCCTAGAACTTAAACAAAACTCCAGTTTTGATGCATATCTGTTGATAATAATGAACCAAAGCTACTGAAATAGTGAGTATGCTCGTTAGAAAAATATTCCTGTCATCAGATCTCAGTTAGCTTCATTGCAGCTGAACACCATGTTACACTGAACATCACATCAGCTGGTGGACATAAATACAGTACAGTAATATTATATTCACAAAATACTAACAATAATATGTTCATTTTACTTGTGAAAAGTTATCCCCCGAGACCTGACGTCAACAATCCGTTGATTAGAACAGAAATAAGCTGCGAAGTGCTGAGACATCTTCTGCTTTAACCAAATAAGGACGACCGTTCCAAGATGGCGGCCGAAATTCCTGCGCCGCAACAGCCAATGAGGGATCTAGTGATTATATCTATGTTGAAGCCAACTCAGTTCAACATGGCTGACACAGTTAATCAGCTTTGGCATGTACAAATATGGTCATAATTAAGCCAGTTTTACAAATGCTGAGCTAAAATTTAGTGCGGTATTAACTGGGAGTCCTCCCCATCACATATTTTGAGTGCAAATAATTTCCACAAGATTCTTGTTACAGACTTTGGAAATAAAAGTTGGAGTAGACCCTGTATGTCTGTTAGGAAAATATCTCATGAACCACAGGACAGATTACAATGAAACGTTAAGAAAGTCATTGGATGAACATCCATAACTATCATTTGAAATTAACCTGATTCAAGATGGCCACCACAGCTTAACATTACAAAAACACAAAAATGGCTATATTTATCTCAGTTTTACAGATATTGAGATACAATTTAGCATGGTTGTAGTCGAGAGTGCTTCCTAACACATACTGTCAGCACGGATTGATCACACAAGATATTTGTTGAGTCGTTGACCTGCACGGAGACAACATTGTCCAGTTCAGTTCAGCCTTAGCTTTAACAAAAGTCGTCGTCCTCCTGTCAGCTTGAGCATTATTTGACCTACAATTCAACTAAATGATAAAAACTCTAAGTCAAGATGGCTTTACATTGATTATCTTTCCATAGTCTTAATAACCCAAAAGAAATAACTTCAGTCTGAAGATTAAAATATATATTTAACATGGTTTTAGTTAATAAACATGAAAATATATACGTATATTTCAAAGTTTGTCATTTATTTGACATGCAAATAAATGACTGGAAGCTGCTTTACTCATTCAAACAAGTTAATTTGTTACAGAAAAACAATTTGTTTGAGATGCTGCAGGTTTGACAAAATTATCTCGCTGTGTAAGTCGACTCTCTCTTCTGTTGCCCCTGGTTACATTTTCCACTTAGCGGCGAGAGAGTCGACAGGCCGTCCCCTTCTGGGGCTCTTGTGCCGTTTCCAGGGCGACCGCTGAATGACCGCTGTCTGGCAGGGAGTCAGACGCAGCCATAGCGCTCACCCCATTCACTTTGGCTGAATAGATGCCCCTTTTTTCTTACAACGCTCCTTTCCGTCTCCATCTGCCAGTCTTGTATAATCAGCCAGCAGTTAACCGTACCGCTAACGGCTGTGATTGTAAACTACACATATTCTAATTAAGACTTCTTTTTTTTTTTTTTTTTTCTGCTTTTAGGGGAGAGGGCTGAATATGGAACAACAAGGTAAGATGTCCAGTGACTACAGAGTGAATAAAGTAGGTGATGATGCGTAAAATCCTTCCTGTGTCTGTGGGTGCTGCTGAAATGAGAGCACAGTCTGGGAATAGGTTTCTCAACGTTTATGCTTTGGAAAACAACTGATTTTCTCCAAAGTGGAGAAAGTTTTGCCAAAAAACAGTTTATTTATTTATTTTCTTTCAAATCTGCAGACAAGTTGCTCACATCAGAAATGCAACCAATAAGTTAAGTAACATACTTTAAGTTTCCAACTAAATTGTGTGAGAGACAAAAATCTACGAAATTACTGTCAGACCCAAAACTAATTGAATGCTACAGTAAGTTGTTGCTTTTTTATTTTTATTATTAAACGGTCAAATCTTTTTTAATGTATTGGGACGTCATTAGTTGTGGTCTTCGTCACCAGTTTATGAGGTCAGTTCAAAGGAATGGCTAAATGTTTTGCTCAAAGGTGTTCAAACTGTGTGCTACATTTTCAAGCCACAGCCGACATCCTGTTTGTCGGCTACAGAGGAAAGAGGACGGTGCAGTGAACTTAAAGAGGCTACTTAAACCACACTTTGTCTCATTTAACTCTTTGATTCTTGTAGACGACGCATCCTGTCTCAAAGTACTGCTCTACATAAAAGTTTGCATGCACATATCTACACAAGTATCAAGGCAGTAGTACCTTTTAACACATTTGTATGAGTTGTTTTTGTCTTTGTTGCTGTTTCGATTTAATTATAAGTCCAGGGGTTTTCTTTGACTGGTGATGTTCAAGTTCAAGAATCTTTATTATCCCCAAGAGGCAATTAGTTTTACAGTCAGTAGGCACATAAAACATTGATACTATACAAGACATTGAGACATTAAAATAATAGTACAGGAATCATTGTTCATTGAGAAGCCTGATCGCTACAGGGATGAATTAGTTTTTCAGTCTGTTTGTTCAATATCTGGGCGGCAGATACCTGCGTCCACATGGAAGCAATCTGAACTCACCATGGAGTGGGTGATCAGGATCTGCCAGAATCAGCCTGACCTTGTTCACTGACCTCATCTTGTGTAGGTCGGGGAGGTTCTGTAGGGCTATGCCAGCAGTTTTGCTGCACATCCTAACAATCCCCGAGAGTTTGTTTTTACATGTAAAAGTCCGACTTCACTACTGCTGCGTGTCACCATTAACATTTACCATTTCTTAATGAACACCGGGTAAAAGTTGGAGATGTAAGTCTTGCTTACTTGCTTACCTGCTTTATTCAATAATCATTACTTACACAAATAAAGAGCTTTTGTCAAGTGAAGACCTTTTTTTTTTAACCTCTCACACCAACTATTAATTTTAGGTAGATGCATATTGTTGAATCCTTATTGTTGACTTTATGGTCTGCAGTAAATTGAAACTTTTGTACCATATTTTTTTCTATTATTATTAAAGGTTGAGAAATCATTTTGCTCCCAATGAATACTTGCTCATGTTGTTGTGTTCTCCAAGGTAAAGATCTGACAACTAAAGCATTAAATAAATTTTAAAAAGTCAGTATTTTCATGTGCATTCATGCGTGTTGTGATATTGTTTATTCATGTTTACCATGTACCAACCCTATAACCCCCACCATCTCCCCAGGCCCCCCACTCTTCCCCCTAAACCCCAGAGAATGAGGAAGTGTAGACCTCGCTCCACTTTTAACCATAAGCTGTTTAACGGCAATATGGAGGCCTTCATTCAGGTACTGGCCCATCTGTGCCCTTTGTTTCTCCATGAGCTCAGCTGTCTTGCTAGCAGTCCTTGGGGTGTCCTTTCGCCTGTGACCGCTCTTTAATCCAAATGTTATTTCACTCGTGCACTTTCCTCTTGCTCAATGCCCTTTCCTCACAGTTTTTAAGTTTCTGAAATGCTGGTCAAACGTGACTCAATAATGGGTTCTTTTTGTTATGGGCAAAGTCTGAGGTTTTAGCTCAGAGAAAACCCGGCTTCTTACCAGATGCTGAATAATGTTTGTCAGTTATAAAAACTCATGGTCACGTCCAGTCAGCAGTGAGCAAGTAAAGCACATCCCAGTTGTAGAATATAGTTGAAATAACTGGTCAATGAGTTACTTTCTAGATAGAAAATAAGAAAAAAAATTTTTTTTGACTATTTGCTTTTCCAACAAAAGTTTAATTCATTCATTGATTCAACCTTTATTTAAACTGGTTAATGTTAAAGGGGTTAATTTGGCAGTAAATTGGCTGTTTTTTTTCCTCCTGATTTTACTAACTGAATATTTTTTGTTTCTAAAGCTCAATTAAGAATTTGGTTAACTATCACAATATTTTATTAAAAGTAAAAATAAAATAAAATAAAAAGAAAACACCGAAAACAATCGATCAGTTTCATTTAAAAATATATATATAAAAAAAAAAAAAGAGGAATGGCCCAAAACTTTTGCTGTGTGCTGCAAAAAAGTTCAAACTCAGCACTTTAGATGTGTTTAATAAATCCTGCCTTCCCCATGCTTTTAGGCAGCAGCTTCTACCCCACCCCCCTACCCTCTCTGTCCTCCTTCAGGCCATGTCCTCATGTCTCGTGTCCCACAATCCGCCGATGCTTTGGCTTCTCTCTCAGGCCAGGCCTCTGTAAGATCTGTCTCTGTCTCTAACCTTTTGTGGTTGTTGTTGCTTCTCTTCCTCTGTCCATGTGCCTTTCTGCTCTCTGGCCAGAGGACGACGGAATGTCCGGGCCCGGACTCAGGTACTCAGTCTCATAACAGCAAGGCGGGACCTTCACACACTCACATTTTCCTGTATTATAAAATCTATTATAATTAAACAGTACAAACACTAGCTTCATGTATGCAAGTTTTCAGTACCACTTTACAATAAGGCTCCCCTTATAGATGACTAATAGATAAGTTTATGGATATGTTATTAATTCCTCTATAAACACTTTATAAACCATTAATAACTGCTTATTGTGCATTGGTTAAGGGTGACGGAGACAAAACTGACCAGTCTGTTGCCAAATAGAGAGCCAAATCTGTTCACCTATATATATAGGTGAAAGGTCACCTCTATATATATATATATATATATATATATAT